AGATACATGCTAGAAAACACATAGAAACATAGATAATCGATAGGCAGGTAGAATATACCATAGACCACAGACACATAGAGGACACAGACAGGAGCTATATGGCATCCATTCCACACAGGCATGGAATCACAAGGCTTACTACGTATGTAACCTGTTAGCCAGGGACAGAACCACAGTGAAATTTCAAGATGCCCACAAAGCACAGTGCTGATGTCCCCAGTACTGTGCACGAGGCACCATCCTTCCTTGCCTGCTGCACAGTCAACGGGTCCTTGCCGGGAAAACCCAGCCATGAGCTACCTAGGAGGAAAAGCCTCCTCAAGTACCATCTCCCAGGACCCTGAACCTCTGAGATGAGAAGCAAGGGTGCCATTCACCCCACAATAAACTCTCGGGAAGTGCCCTGCTTCAGAGACAGGTTCTAACAGAGAACAGGACAGCCCATTCCCGCCAAGAAGCCCCTCCCCCAGCACAGGTCATCTGCCACCTGCGAAACGCACACCTTGTCTCATGTCTCCACGAGAATGCAGCACGTCTGGAACAGTCAAGAAGCCGAACTGCCCTGGAATCAGGAGGCTGGACAAGCATCTGGAGCTTGCCTATCAGCAGAGGTCTGACTGCCGAGCAGATATTCTGAGAATCCTCCCAGAATAACGAAGGCCAGCATCCCCAACCAAGGGGCTGCACAGAGTCCCCCAACCTTGGAGAAACAGACTACAGGGTCCTGACATGCAGGGGCACCCGGGGAACCCAGGAATGATGCAGGTTTGGAATCACGGATCCCATGGGGGAGCCTGGGTCTGTGTTTCTGGCAAGCAGATCTGGTCTACACGGCGGCTACAGCCCATGTCCTGGGAAGCAGGATGTGGGCACAGGATGACGTCAGACGGCGGAGATGCCCACGTGCTAACGGGATGGGGCTGCTGTGCGTGCCTCGGGACCCCCGAAGGAGGATGGCAGGCTTCATGCGACCGTTGTGCTAAACCCTAGACGAGTCTCATGTTTGCAAACGGCTGGAGCAACGTCGGAAGGGCAGGAACATTGCGTGGAAGACGCGACACGGGGCTTGGGGCCTGGAGCACGCCGCCTGGCGCCCATGCCGTGCGCAGATCTACGGGACCACAGCCACACCCTGATGGGACCGCGTACTCCACAGAGCCACACATACCTCCTTGCTCAGGGACAACGGGAGCCGGATCTGCCCTGGGTCCTGAGAGCCACCGCCACACAGACCAGTGCTGAGCGGGAATGAGCCTCTACGGCGCCCAAGAACCAACTCGGGAAGGCCCCCCGGATTAACTCCCCCAACAACAACAACAACGAAAACCCAGCTCAGACTTAGGGCTTTAGAGTAAGACGTGAGCATAAAGCCCACACAGACGCACACCTGTGAGGAAGCTGAGTGGGGGGGGGGGGGGTGCGCGGGCCCAGAGAGGAGAACGCGTGCCGCCAGGGGCTGTACGTGCAGCACCCATGCTCGAGGATGGGCACAGCTGGTGCCCATCACCAGACACAGCCAAGGACGTGCTCCCCGGGGACCGCCGGACATTGGCCACGTTCGACGTCAGTCCCTGTGGCCGAAAGTGGCCCCATCTTAACTCCACGTGTCTGTGTGTGAAATGGAAATATTTAGTTAGCCCCGACCCAGCAACACGGCGGCCAATTCCCTGCAGGAAGAGAAGGCTGTGACGGTGCAGATCCACGTGCCTTGTCCATTTGTCTGTCCGTGCGGTGCCTTGTTTTGTTAAAGAGGAGGCAGGACAGGCTGGGCAACAGTCAACTGTCTGCACAAATGAAAGGTCCACGCTCACCACTCAGAAAGGCTGGGGCTCATAAAACCATTCGCTGAAGACAAGCCAGTGAAGGCTTGTCACCAAGCGGCGGCTTTATTCACATGAAGGAAAATGCAAAAGGCCCCCCCCCCCGCGCCAGACAGCCCATCACCAAGTGGTGGCTTTATTCACATAGAATTTGGGTTGCACAAATACCTAGAATGGATCAGACTCTTTGTCATTTGCAAGGACCCCAGGACAAAGCACCACGGACTCATTCTTTGTGGCCCGGAAACCTCTTTCAAGAAAGAAACAAAAGCCCCTCCCCCCCACCCCGTTACTGGAGGGCTTCTGTCACAATGAACACACATCAGACAAATAAATTAGAGGAGCTCATCTGTTTCTTGGGTTTATTGAACAAGAGTCAAATTTGAAAGCGTTAAATAAGAAGAAAAAAAAAAGCATCCATCCCATGAGGAAGGCTCAAACCCAGTCGGATGCGTCAAGATACAAGTCCCTCCTCTCATCCACACCAGCGGGGGAGGGGTCACCCTCCCGAGGAAAGGGACATATCCGCCTCCTTAAATGTCCATGATGCTCTCGGAGGTGCTCAGCCACGCAGAACGTCGCCAGCGTCTCGGGTTTCTGCGAACAGCCGGAGCGACCCCGAAATCAAGGCCAAAATGTCCCATGGTCCGTTTTTTAAAAAAAATCAGCGGGCCCCCGCGGTGCGGTGTTGAAAAGACAAAACGCAAGCGTCCGTGGCCCCGTGGAGAAATTGAAATCACCCTCGGCACACTTGGGCCCCTGGTAATTTTGGAAAGCGGGGCTCCCGAGGGCGGGGGGCCTGGTGGTCATCTTGGGGAAAGGGCCCCTTTTAAGCATGGGACACGGGCGCACACCCACGCGCACGGATAGGACCCAAGCGCCTCAGGGTCACCAGGACCATGTGCACAGAGCGAAATGCAGCGAGGCGACAAAAGGCAGAAGACACAGCGCGTCCAATACTTTGCCTGCGTTGTCCCCACGGCCCGCGCCCTATTGCCCTTTTCATGCTTTGCACCAAACCCAAAGCTTGTGCGTCTCCCACACGGGGCGCGAGGGCCGGAGAGGGGTGCCCCCGGCCGTGCCGAAGGCAAGGTGTGTGCTTCCGCTGGGCAGTAAACACGAGCTCCTGTGCGCAACAGGTCCGGGAAGGCCTAGCGAGGGCGTGTGGGCCGGGAAGGATGTGGGAGTTTGGATGTTTTTCTGGGGTTTATCGCAAACCATCCCGCGGAGAACAGGACGGCCTTGGGGGTGGAATTAATGTATGTAGGAAGCGAACGGGGCTCCCTCCCTCCGACCGTCCGTCCCTGCTGGCCGTGCGCTGCTCCAGGAGTTCGTTATCTGCAACCGGCAGCCAGCAGGTGCGCGTGGGGACTTCCAGAACTTTCTCTGTCGATTTCTGCCACTTTGCGACGATGAGACTGGGCTCCCCGAAGAAAGACGCGCACAGCAGCCCCATGTTTCCCTCCTGTGCCTTTGCTCTCCTCGGCCCGGCCACCCACGCACACGCACGCAGGCCGTGGGTATTTACAGCGGAACATCCGCGGGGTCCAGCGCCACGGTGACCCCACCCCCAGCCCGCCGGCACCTACACGAAGCCGCCGTCCCTGATGCCAAAGAAGCCGGCGTGCACGGCGTCCCCTAGGGGGAATACCTGCTCGTGGTCCAGGCCCCATTCGCCCTCGTCCTCGTCCTCGGGCTCGGCCTCGGTGCCGCTGCGCGCGTTCTCGTACAGGAAGATCTGCTCGTCCACGTGCGCCGGCGCCAGTCGGTTCCTCTTGGCGCTGACCACGTTGGCGGAGGAGCCAAAGAGTCGCTCCGGGAAGACGCGCGTGGCCGCCACGCACCAGTATTTCTGCAGCACCTTGGGCAGCACGGGGAAGAGCGCCAGGCGGTCGGACCACCACTTGAGGGGGTCCTCGTTGAGGCCCAGCACCTTCTGCGACTTGAAGTTGCTAAGCTCCTCCACCACCTGCGCGTGCCACTCCTCCTGGTCCTCCACGCCCCCCGTCTGGCAGAAGATCTCGGCCAGCATGCTGTTGATGACGCTGGTGGGCGGCGGCGTGGACGCCAGCACCAGCTTTTTCACCGGGGGCTCCTCGGGCAGCGCGTACATCTTCTCCTCGGCCGTCCGGTAGCCGCCGCCGCCGTCCTTGACCTTGTCCAGCAGGCCCTTGGCCTCCTCCACCACCCTGTTCTCCACCTGCTGCCTCTCGAAGGCAGACAGGAAGGGCAGGCGCTTGTAGCGCGGGTCCAGGAAGGTGGCCACGTTCAGGAACATGTCGATCTCGGGCGCCTCCTGGTAGGTCTTGGACAGCTCCTTGGCGATGACCTCCTTGGCCATGCTGAGCTCCTTGCAGTCGGTCTCCTTGATGTTGAGCGTGGTGTTGAGCAGCATGTGCAGCAGGGGCTTCACCATGCTGATGGTGGGGTACTTGGAGGCGGAGAGCATCTCGGCCACCTGCTTGAAGGGCTGCAGCAGCTCCACCAGCCCCTCAATGGTGGCCCACTCGGCGGCCTCCAGCATCAGGTGGTGGTTGTTGCTGTCCTCCACCAGCACGCCCGCGATGACAAACTGCTGCTCCTTGAGGCGCTGGAGCATGGCCAGCGTGCTGCCCCACCAGGACACGCGGTTGCTCACCAACATGCAGTGCGCCATGTTCTGCTGCTTCTGCTTCTCATACAGCATGTACATGGCCACGGTCGACTGCTGGAAGTACTCCACCAGCTTGCGGCAGCGGGCCAACAGCCCGGCGAGCTTGGGCAGCTGCAGGGCCTGCTGGATGCCCGCGTTGAATGTGTGCCCCAGGCAGGGCATCTGCACCGAGATGTCCAGCAGGGAGCACGCCTTCACGATGTCCTTGCCACAGTCCGTGGTGGCCCCGAACACCTTGGCGCTGATGCCCCACTCGATGAAGGCCTCGTACAGGACCCTGGTGATGGACTCGGCCGTGTTGTCCTCGGGGACCTCGAAGGTCTTCAGGCAGCGGGAGCCCACGGACAGGCAGCCGGGGGCCCCACCGCCCAGGAAGTGGGCGGCCAGCGTGACATAGGCACGGTTCTGGTTCTCGCTCCGCCACATGTCCGTGGAGATGCCGCACCAGGATGCGTCGCTGAGCTCCTTGAGGACGGCCTCACGGACAGCGCCGTACTTCTCGGGGATGGCCTTGCTGCAGAGGAATTTCCTGCTGGGCAGCTCGTACCGGGGGTCGGCCGTCTTCAGCAGCACCTTGAACGTGGGCTCGTCCACGATGGACGCGGGGTACAGGCCCTCACAGATGAGGCCGATGACAGCGGCCGTGAGCTCCTGCTGCCGCTTGCTCTCGTGGCCGTGGCCAGCCTTGGTGGCCAGCGTGTCCGGTGGGGTCAGCTGCGACGCCTCGGGCTTCAGCTTGGAGAAGGCGGTGGCAAAGGCCTCGCGCATCTGCTCCGTGTTGCTCTTGACGAACTCACAGAACTCGTCGGGGTGATTCTTCTCCAGGTGATAGGAGAGGTTGGAGGTGTTGCCGGAGTAGGCGATCTGGGCCATGCAGATGCGACAGTAGATCTTCTTCCACTGCAGGATGCAGCCCTCGGCGTTGGTGTCGAAGCCAAAGTACTTCCATACTTTGCTCTTGGCGCGTGGGTGGGCCACTAACTTGAGGTCTGTCTGGGACGGGTCCAGGCCTTTCGCCTCCATGGCTTCTGCGCCGCGGCCCGCCTGCGGGGCCTCCACTCATTCCTGCGCACCTGCTGAGAAGCAGCAAGACAAACACAGCGTGAGAAGGGGCCCAGGCACAGGAGGGGGGGTGCCCTGCGAGGAGCGAGCGCACGCCACACGCTGAAGCAGCTCTGTCTCCAAGCCACGGGGCAGAGGGACCCCACGGGGCCACCTTTCCGAGTGCGCGTGGCTTTGGCAAAGCGGAGGGTGCACTCTGACAGGTGAGCGCCTCTTCCCTGCAGGTCACTCCTATGCGCAGTGTGCGCAGCAACTCCACGCGTCTGAAAACGTGCGCATCTGCGCTCTTACGGGCGCAAGGACTCCACGCGTCTGAGAAACGTGCGTATCTGCGCTCCTATGGGCGCTCAAGGACTCCACGCGTCTGAAAAACGTGCGTATCTGCGCTCCTATGTGCACATGTGCGCTCCTACGTGCACAGTGGCTTGCAAACATGCGCATCTTTGAGTTTCTCGGTCCTTAGAGCACCTGGCCCATCTCGGCTGTTTACTGTTTCCTGTGCTAGGCGGTCCACCAACCCAGCACCAGCCAGGGAGGGTCACTTTTGTGGTGAACGAGCTGCTGGCTGCGTGCGCAAGCCCACGTGCCCCAGCACGGGCGCCAGCCCAGGAGGACCCACCGTCACCACCAGCACCTCTGGCCTCCTTGTCAGCAAGAATGTGAGGCACCACAGAACCCGAGGTTTGTCACGGGCATCCAAGAAGCAAAAACAGGATTTTAATTTGGACAGTCTTTAAGTTGGCTAAGAAGCATGGCTACTTTTGTTTTGTTTTTCCCCAAATTTTACGTTTTAAAATGACGCCTTTTGGAACGTGGCATGCGGTCCTTTTATCTTTGGCACATCCACCATCGGTCACCTTAGTGGGGCGGTAATGGACATCTTGATCCCTGGAGCTTCTCAAAATGCCCACCGTGGGCAGTCATACCTGTACGCACAGATATACATTTGCTGTGCACGGGTTTCAGCGTCACCAGGCTCTCGGAGGGGAGGCTTTGTCGACCCAGAAGCCAGCCCCGAGGGCTCCCGTTGTCCCTGATGCCCCCACGTCGGGTCCCTCGGAGCCGCCAATCTGGGCAGAGACTCCCCAGAATGGCAGCTGAGTTCTGTTCAAAGGTGTCTGTTAACTCTGCAACTTTTCAACCCGCTGTACAGTGCTCGGGGGGTTAAATGACAAACTGCACCAACCAGGCATTTTCTGAGTATCGGGAATATGTTCAGAGCAAAGTCTCCATGTCTACAGGGGATCGCAGAGTGGCCCCCACTGGAATTCAGGTACTCCCAGAACCTGTGAATGGAACCTTATTTGAAACGGGACCCAGGTGTGTTAAGTCAAGGATCATAAGGTCATGGGAAGGATGTGGCCACAAGCCAGGAACCCCCAGAAGCTGGTAAAAAAAAAGGGGAAGGACCCTTTCCTGGCGCCTCGGGAGGGATCGTGACCATGTGCCACCCGGATCTCAGCAGTCCTGCCCTGCCTGGATCTCAGACTCTGGTGTCCAGAGCTGGGAAAGGATGAATTTTTGAGCTTTTAAGCCAGTGGGTACTAGGGTAAGGCTGACCCAGGGCATTCTTTAGACTAGGGTCAAACCTTAAAAGATACTGAGTGTCAACCTCATGCCCAGAATGCCCCCCATGTCCTCACAGACAGCCACACCCCACCACACTGGCCTTCGTGAGGCTTTTCAGGAAGACATCACAATAGGCCCGATTAATGGGGCATTATGGTACCTGGGCTGGTTGGAGGACACTGTTCTGTGGGCAACTGTACGTAGGAAGCAAAGAGACGAGGCCCAGGATCTGCAGGACAGTGGAGGGAATCCAACACAGCCATGGCTTGCAGAAAGAGGAGACCCCAAGCTGCACGTTCTGCAGTCCAGTCAGGATCGGGCACCTGGACAAGGAACGGCCGTCGAGGGACCGGGGAAGGAACCAAAGCGCTGCATGCTGGCTCTGGAGTATGAGCGGGTCCATCCTACCCCGGCAGCACAATTCGGCGGTATCAGGTCTTCCTATGGCATTATTATCACGGTTTTAATAATTATCACTAATTTAGCTGAACGAGGTCACGAGACCCTGAGCTACATGCCACACACACAAGGAACAAGGAATCCCCAACTAAACGGATTCTTATGGAGGCACCACTGGCTGGGCCTTGCTCTCCTTGGGTGCACACTTACGTCAGGATCTCTGGGGGCCCCCAGGAAAGCAGGCGACGAGCAGGGGATGTTTCCGGCGAGCCCCTGGAAGGCCCCTGGGCAGGGCCGCCTGCCGCCACCATCTGTACCGCTCGGCCCACAATGGCGTTGGTCACAGTCACCAGTAAAGGTTTCTTCGAGGCAGGCTTTCCCCGCTCATCCTTGGCAGGTGGTTCGGGCACCTCTGGGGGACAGTCTCCAAGCCCCTCCCCGGGGGTCCTGAGAGGTCCTGCCTTTTGCACGAGAAAAGCCGGTTTTCTCCCACACTGCCACCCCAACAGCGCGTCCCAGGGGTGGGGGGCAGACGCAGCAGGACGGAGAGCCAGCTGCCTTCCCCACAGCCTGGAGCTCAAGAGGCCAGCAAACACGGACCAGGGGGCCACGGCGCCCACTAGCCTACTCCGTGTCTTGGAGAATGGAGTTGTTCAGAGTCTGAAAAACCCGTATCAGTGATAGTTACAGGCAACTGGCTTGTCTTTGTTATTTTAAACACGATCTGAAACTCGTTTTTAAATTTCTGCTTTAATTCCTAGCAGGCAAAACCTGCCTAAACAAACGCTCTTTTGGGGTCCTCCTTTTATTTGGAGAGGAAAGGGACCCTAAATCATGATGTTCGAATGCCCAGGTTTCACCTCCCTGGAGCCATGGTCCGTGTCCACGTGTGCACAAAAGCAACAAGAATTCACTTTCTGTGGATAGGTGTTTTAACCCCCTGTAGTCTGGAAACTAAGAGCCCTCCCAAAATAGCTCGGTAAGTGGGCTGGTTGACACAGTTTGCAGTGGGTATGGCCTCCAAAGGTTCAGCACGTACAAGTGAGTCCACTTTCCGTACCAAGAAGCCTGCTCACTTCTAGCGGAATTTTTAAGATTTTATTTGAGAGCGAGAGAGAGAGCACGAGCACCAGCAGGGGCTGAGCAGGGAGCCCAACGCGGGGCTCGATCCCAGGACCCCAGGATCATGACCTGAGCCGAAGGCAGACGCTTAACGACTGAGCCACCCAGGCGCCCCCCCCAACAGAATTTTTAAGGGAAACTCTGTACAATATCAGAACTAGAAAAAAACACATCAAGTAGACCTTGTCTCCTTTTCAAAACGCACCGATGCGTGGAGACATTTAATTTCCAACAGATAACCCCTTTGTTGGTCCTGCACATGTGACCACATGTCTACAGAACACGGCAACTTGGAGCAACTTTTAGGCCAGTTTTGGGGTGACATTCGGATACGAAATGCGGTTAGTTAAATCATGTATTTTAAGATGTGATGAACAGACACACCTCACCGTGTGGGCCACCTGGACAGTCTTCAGAAGACAGAGAATCTGCAAACCAGACCATCAATCCTGAGTCTGTAAATGGTCTTGCTTTTGGATAAATGTTAAGAAATTAGGACATCTTAACATTCAGGACAACTGCACTGTTAACTCTTCCTTTCTTCCTACAACCTAAGTGACCCCAGACATCATACCTGCCACATGCATTCCCCTTCCCGAAAAGGTCCAAGCCCATCTTCCTGGTCACAGTGCTCAGAAAAAAAAAAAAAAAAGTCAAGTTACTCCCAACCGGAAATGGGAACTGGGTCTTTGTTACTGTTTAGCTCCAGGCCCAGGGCAAAGTTCAGTGGCTCGCGTCCAAACACCCAGTGCAGCGAGGAGCTGATCAGAAAAGCTTTAAAAGGCAAAGCAGTGGGTTTGCCGCTTGCGATGTGGGCCACCAGCAGACCCAGGGCGGGGACGCGCTCCCACCAGTATCTAAAGTCATTTCTAAGATGACAGACAGGCTGGGGCTCGTGGAGGGCCAGCAAGCAAACGTTCATCCTTCTATATAAGGATCCTCTTCTGGAACACACAGTCTGGCAGGCACGTGACTTCACAAGTACTTTGTATTTCCACAATTTTGTTTGTTTTAAATCAACAGGTAGAAAGAACAGGTCCAGCCATCCATGTCGACACACCACAAACAAGTTTTGCAAACACGCGTTTTGGTGTGCCCGTGCAGGGACACCACCTCCAAGGCTAAATTCCTTTCCCAGATTGACCGGGGAGCTCCCGGAACGGGGCTCCTAGGCAGGTGACAAAACCCGGCTCAGAGCGACATCGCGGGGTTACGTGTAAGTGACAGTGCTCCACGGGTTTTGACTGGTTTCTCATCGTCCCTCAGTATACAAGCTAACTGAAAAGGCCACGTGTTGACTTCCCTGTCCCTAAGCCCCTCCAAGCTTGCTGGTTCTTACCCGGCATTCACTTCTAATGTATATAAGTATGTTAAAAAAACAAACAAACAAACAAATTCCAGTGTTCTCAGACAAGTTAAAGGCTTGCTCAAGTAAAACAAAGATTCATTTCCCTGGGTGGAGGCTTCTGGCGGGGGGTGGCGGGGAGCTCACTGAAAAATGTGCTCTTCCTACTCAGAGCTGAGGTTCTCCAAGTGTGGCCCGAAGGGGCCCCCCCCCACCGTTAGTGGGTAGCCAGAGGAATTCAAAAGCACAGTTGATGCTGAAACCACGTGAGGGTTGCCACACACTGAAAAACCCGCTTATAACTTTTGACGGCCCCCAAAACATAGCTGCGAAAAGCCCACAGTTGTCCAGAAGACTTACGGGGCATTTGCCCGTTATTTTGTGTATTATAAGCACTGGATGCTCTATTCTTACAATGAAGGAAGCTGGACAGGAGGAAATGTGAGGAAGAAAATTCTAAGGGAGGGGGAAAAAAGGGCACTTATGGGATCCTGCAGTGCGTCTGCCAAAACAAACAAACAAAAAAAAGAAAGAAAAGAGACATATAAGTGAAGGTGGGCATTTCAAACCAGTGTTGTTCAAAGGTCAACTGTATTTTGGCAAGGATAGGTGGTACGTGTGTGGCTCATCTCAGGAGAGTTTGCGGAGGCTAGCCGACCTTCCCAGCACACTCTCTAATTGCAGAAGTACAGCTGAGAGTAGGGGTCTCCTCTTAGGCCGTGCAGGAACGAGCTTCGTAGCTACAAGGTAGCACCCCACCCCAGTTCCCACTGAATACTTTGTTTTGGAAAATACTGATTTGGTACCTAAAAATAAACTGCCATTTCTGCGCCCACAGACCAGGGCTCTTGTAATTCCCTGTGCAGCCGCGCACACAGAAAGGCCTCCCGGATTCTGGCTTTGCAGCCCCGGAGCATGTGTCTACGGAGAGCCAGGGCGCGCATCCACACGAGCACGCTGGAGGTCCCGCCGTGCTTACCAGAGCTTGAGCGGGTCCTGCCCCGAAGGCCCGGGGAGTGCGCGGCGGTGTTCCGGGCAGGGGGACGGAGCTGGCCCCCGGCGGGCAGCGCTCCACCGCTCGCACCGCCCGGCTCCCCAGGGCCCCGGCCGCGCGCTGGGCCCCGCGGCGCCGCGGCCAGGCCTTCCGGGAAGGCCAATGCCGCCTAATCCTGGGCTGGGGGGGAAGGAGGGGCCTCCGGGGCGTCGCGCTCCCGGCCTGCGCGCCGCCTCCGCACGACCCCCGCCGGCGCACACAGCCGCCCGAGGTCGAGCGCGCGCGCGGGCCCGGCCGTGACCCGGGAGGCGGGGGTCGCGGGCTTCCGGGAGACCCCGGCCCCGGGGCAGGCACGAGCGAGCAGCCGGGGCGCGCGCGCACGAGAGGCCCCCGGGGCGCGCTTGGCCTCCACAACCCCCGCCCGCGCCCCCCCGCCCCGGGTCCCGCCGAGCGAGGAGCGCGCCTCCGGCCCGGTGTCGCCAACGCCCCCGCCGCCCCCGCCGCCCCGGCCCGCCCGCAGCCCCCCGCCCGCGCGCCCGCGCCCTGCTGACCTGGCTCCGCGAAGCCCCCGCAGCAGCGCCGCAGCAGCTGCGCCAGGACCACCGCCGCGCCCGCAGCGTAGACCCGCAGGGCCGCCCGAGCCGCAGACAAAGGCGACATGGCTGCCCGGACGCCGCTTCCGCGCCGCCCGCCGCCGCCCGCCCCCGGGACCCGGCGCGACACCGGCCGGCGGAAACGCGCCCGCGCGGCCCGCCCTCCGCGCCCGCCCGCCCC